GACCCTTATTCCTCGGCTGGGATCGTGTAGAGCTCTTTAAAGCTGCACTGAAGCTGCATGTTTGACCTTGAAATCGTTGGCCACCATTGAAGTCCACTATATGGAATGTTTTCCTCAAAAAACGTAATTTCTTTGCGACTGAAGAAAGAAAGACATGAACATCTTGGATGACATGGGGGTGAGTAATCTTTCAGGAAATTTTTATTCTGGAGGTGGACTTATCCTTTAATGCAAATCCTTCTGTGTCGTTGCTTCAGTGAGGAGGCTGAAGGTCTCGCTAAGAAGCTGAAGTTAAGATTCTATCGGACGTCAGTGAAAGAAGATCTCAACGTCAATGAAGGTGTGCGATAAAGCAGTTCAGGTCACTGATTTGTGCTCAACTGTAAAATAACTCCTTTTTTGTTATGTTGTAGTTTTTAAGTATCTAGCTGACAAATATCTGCAACGACTCAAGCAGCAGTCGGCAGAGGAGACAGAGGTTGTTCACACATCCAGCAATAAAATAGGTAAGATTTTTTCAAAAGAAATGAATACTTTTATTTAGGGATGGGAATTTTTAGACATCGCATGATCCGATCTGATTTCCATTTTTGGAATCACAATCTTGATCTACATTTTTTTCTTATTGATTATTTAGTTTACCGACTTTAAAGTGCCCCTATTGTGGGTTATGAAAGGTTCATATTTTGGTTTTGGGAGTCCCCAACAACAGGTTCACATGCATGCAAGATCAAAAAACACTTTAATTGTCTTATAATAAGCATTTATTTTTACCTTACTTGCTCAACGACTCCCAGACGATTCGTTTAACGATTCATTTTTCCAAACCCCTCCTTTGCGTGACGCTAATCTGCGGTGATTGGTCTCATTTTCATTTCATAATGCCTGATAAAGCAGCGTTTGTGAGCGCAGTGCTGCCATGTGTATTTTTTTAATACATTTTTCATTTTTACCGCTCCAAAAGCGGCACCTAGTGGCAAAGAAAGAATTAGCATTTTCATTAGAACAACGCTAAAAGACCAACAAGTGGGCAGGCAATATGCTAATGTTTCATATTGATGTCAACATGAAGCCACTTGGGATTCGTTTTAAACGATTCAGAGTCTACTCTTTCATTTGAGAAACAATAACTTTATACACGGTGCACTTTCAGATTTAAAACTTTGCAGGATGTTTTCATTCTCTTAGAGCTGTGTTACACACTGCATGGAAGGTAATTTTCAAAAATCCATAATAGGGGCAACTTTAACAAATGTATTTGTTCATTTTTATTAAATTACCATAAGTGGGCTACTTTTTAAAGTAATTACAAATAATAAGTAAGTCAAAACAATTGTATGTTAAGAATTATAACCAACTAAATGTAGCTTCAAGCAAATATAAAGAAGCACATTTACAAGCAATAAACAAAAAGTGCTTTCGGTATCGGAGTGAAAGTTTCCAGACAGGCGCCGTTATGGATTTTTCTCCTTTTCTCAGCATTGATGCTATTTGATTGTTACTGATGACATCACAGACGCATATTATATTTATTTTTATTACAACACTGCTACACTGTTTATTTCAATTTAGCTTTAGCATTAAAACGTTTTTAGATTCTCGTGACACATTTCTTACTCTTTTCAGGCGTTTTCAACACTTCCGGCGGCAGTCATCCCAACCAGACTGCCGGCGATCTGAACGGCCGTGAGGTCATAAACCTGCGCCCAAACAAGCAGAGGACCAAGAAAACAAAAAACCCCTTCGGTAGCTGCAGACTGCTCTGACGAGTAGGTCTAAATCTTTTGGACACTGCCCTTCCTCACATTTTAACAATGATTGTGGCTCAAAATTTGAATGAAAAGCGAATATATTTTCTCACAGTCAAATATTTGGTGAGTTATTCCATGTGGTACACAGCAGGGTAATTTTCTCTAATGAGAGTACTTACAGCGGGAATTTTTTTTTTCGATTTCTAACACACCATTTGTGCATTTGGACTGTTCATCGTTAGTGCAGTATGCTTGTATTGATGGAGGTGCATCATTCGCTTTCACAATCTTCCCTTAAAAGTTGTTTCTTATATGAACGTCGTCACAAGTTTCAATCCGTATGTTCTTATAGGTATTTTTGTATGAAAAATGTAGTAAAGTAATGACTCACTTAAATTCATAACATTTAACACAGTGCCAAAATGTTTCTAAACTCTACAAACTTGTAAGAAATTTCGTAAATGGTTGAGCGAGACAGATTTTGAATCATTTTTATCATTGATATGCATCAATCAGCATCCTCTTCTGAAGCTCTGTCATGTTCTAACACTATACCAAATGCAAGAGATGGGTTTATATAGAAAGGTATTCTTTTGGGATAAAGAAAAGTTAATTTTTAAATATTTTTATTTGGTCGCTGACAACTGGCAATGCCGCCAGATATTAGTGTAAAACGGCACACTCTTACTGCTAGGGCTGGGCGATATTGCTACTAGACGTTACTTGATATAATTAAGCCGTTATGAAGATGACATTGAAATGGCATAAAACAGTCATCATAACCAAAACGCTGTTGTAGCAAATTGTGCATCAAAATGTTAAAATTAAAATGCAGTAAAAATCAAGCCATGTTTTCACACTGTTCACTAAATGAATTATATGTAATAATTTTCATTCATACACACTGGCAATAAACATTAATACTTGTTTACGCATTCCCCCCCCTATTTTTACTAAACATTTTAACTCTTAAATGTGCAGGGGCTTTAAATGTATTTATTGCTATTTTAAAATAAATCATTAAAACCAATCTTCAAAATATTGCTTGTTTTTTTTTTTTGTTGTTGTCAATTTTGTCAATCTTACCAGCTCTAATACTGTTATAGCAACTGAAGTTTAAATCTGATGCTATTAAAACATCTCTTTCATAACACTCTCGTTCTCTGATGATAGATTGTGCACATATCTAATTAGCTGTTCTGTAGGACAGCTGAGGCCAAAGTCAAACTAACCTGAAATCATCATAAATGTACAGTGAATATTCAGTATATCGCCCAGCCTTTCTCACTGCTACACATTTACATGTGCACCAATTATGGGGCGTACATATTTTTGCATTCATGAATAATGAAACACTCGGCTTGAAGTTCTGCATCTACATGACGTCTGTTATATGTGAATTACTGGAATCGATTGGAAAGTAAATACACATTTAAAATCCCATGGATTTACAGTACAATCAATATATAAAACTCACTTTAAAGTTTTCCAAATATGTTTTGAGTAACGGTTAGAGATGACCAAGATTACCAATGAGACATCACCCATCTCCTGTTTAATCTTGGACTAAATTGCACTGATATTATTAACTTGACCTTCAGCACAGTATTGGGCTTTATATATGTACAGGAATCCACCAAGGAAACAAAAATGTACGTTTCTCCCAAAGTCCCAGAGCCTTAACCACTAAAGCCATTAGAAACGCACAAGAGTCACAGCTGATCCTGTTTGATGTTACTGAAAACTGATGTGCTAAATGTTTTACTCAATTCGGGTCTATAAACCCAACATCCCCTCTCTTGAGTTTTATATTTGAATCAATCAGAGGATGTTACAGAATTGTTCAAACTTCCCTGCAGTTTTGATCTGATGTCTGATGAGCTTGAGCAGGTAATAATAATCTGTTCACTTGCTTCATGTGGCTTAACTCTTGATGGATTGTATTTATTCATGAATCGCATGCCTCGCATTTGTGTTTGAATGTGGAATCATGGTACTTCGCCATCACAACGGCCTTCATGTTTACAGCTTATGTTAACTGGCTTGATGTGATGAATGTTGGTTTTCTCATTTGCTGTAGTGAAATGATGGCGACACTACAATGAACTAAAGGCACTTTAGTGAATATACAGTTTCTAATACAAGAACTGCTTAATTTCTTATTTTTTCACGACTTTCTAGTAGACGTTGAGAATATGCCAGCAGCACCTGTTACTACCTGCGCATTTTGTAGTCGGCAGAAGTGTCATGTGAAGTGATTTGTTGTTTTCGACTGTATGATTAAAGATCTGGTGGGATTATTCTTCGACTGATGTTGGGTGGTTGTCAGAAAAGGACAAAATAAAGAGGCTATTGTAGTTGTTTTATTTTCATGGTACTTTTTTATCATACTGTGACAACCGTATACATGCATGATTACAAAACAATGTTGTGAATATTTAAAAAAAAAAAGAAAAATCCATAAATGACAATCCACAGTGCCAAATAAAACCTGTTTTTAAAGTTCTGACTTTAAATTCTGGTTGGAAGATTGGCAACCTACTCACACTTATAAACCTATTATTATTATTAATAAATATATAAGCTTTTGTCATAAAGCTATTGTGACCGTTTTACAAAAGCAATAATCTGCCTTGTGTTGTGCCCAACAACAGCCCTTCATTGTCACATAAGCACTGTAACACAAGGTTTACCGCTTAATTAAATGACGAATTGGCTTATACAGTTATAAACTTCACATTGTCTTGAAATGGAGAATCCATAGACGGTAGAAAACCTGTGAATTTCTTCTGAACATATTACTTTGCACTTATTACTGGCTTTAATATAATTAATGAGGCAGAAATGGCCTATTCTCTCTCTCTCTCTCTGTTTTTAAAAATCCCAAACAACTGAAAACATGAAAATGTGTTAAAAGGTATTATTTCTTATTTTTAAGAGCCATTAAAAAAGTGATTACGAATCTAAGCTCAAGTATTTATCGAAGGCAGTTTGTGTTTGGCTGTAATGTTTTCTCCTGCACTGAACACTGTGTTGTTCTTCACTGTAAAGACTAACCTGACGGCCGAATGTGAAATTCCCAGCAAGCTGAGAGCCTGACGCTCTCATTAGAATGTACAGAGCAAGCGAGAAAACCATGTGTGGCTGCTCTAAAAATAAACAATCACAAGCCAGGAAAATCATATTCATGGGGCTTCCAGCGGGAAATGCTAGCACATCCCAACAGAATTACAGTGATTTTGCATCGTTTCATATTAGTTAATAAATCAAAAACACAAGAAAAAATGTCAGTGGTTTGTGATCATTATTTTTTCTGTAAGTGAAAAGCACAGAAGTAAAAACAAAATAAATATGCATAAGACCAAGATGCCATCATTGGTAATAAAACCTGCAAATCTATTTGTGACCCTGGAGCACATAACCTAAGTAGCACGGGTATATTTCTAGCAATAGCCAAAAATACATTGTATGGGTCAAAATTATCGATTTTTCTTTTGTTCCAAAAATCAATAGTTCATTAAGTAAATATCATGTTCCATGAAGATATTTTGTACATTTCCTACTGTAAATATATAAAAACGTAATTTTTGATTAGTAATATGCATTGCTAAGAACTTCATTTGGACAACTTTAAAGATGATTTTCTCAATATTTAGATTTTTTTGCACCATCAGATTCCAGATTTTCAAATAGTTGTATCTCGGCTAAATATTGTTCTATCCTCACAAACCATACATCAATGGAAAGCTATTTATTCAGCTTTCAGATGATGTATAAATCTCAATTTTGAAAAATTGACACTTGTGACTGGTTTTGTGCTCCAGGGTCACATATATCACTTGTGTCCGATAGCACACGCACATCACGGAGACGTCTATTTGACGTCTGCATTACATCTGCAAGACATATTTTTTAGTGTTTGCTCATCTGCAATACGTCTATAGGACGTTTCCTATCAGATGTCAAATAGATGTTTATTAGATGTCTTTAAGATGTTTATGATTTAGAATGTGTGTAAAACTGACGTCTGTACACAGCAGATGCTTTCCAGATCAAGAGATCTTTAACAGACATCTTGCAGACGTACGTGTGCTATCTTTTAACAGACGTCTGCAATTGCAGACGAGCAAACACTCTAAAAATACGTCTTGCAGACGTCTCCGTGATGCACGTGTGCTATCAGGGAAAGGCACGCGTGGCGCTCGTCAGTCCCTCAGCCTCTATTTGCCGTTGGTAAGACTGGAATGATCAACTTTCTGGTTATCCATAATTTTAATGGTTTTCTCCGCATTGTCCATGTTCCTGATGAGGGTCTCGAGGCGCCTCTTGATCTTCTTCTGGTCCTCCAGGGCGCAGCTGATCACGACGCTCTGAAACTTCTGATCCAGAGGCACAGGAGGCGCGTCGGTCACACACGCGGCGTGAAGGGCCTGCAGACGCTTTCTGGCCTCCTCCATGTCCTCCAGCACTTTCCCAGCGATCTCGTCGATAATGGCCGTGGCTTTCTTCAAGGCCTCTTCCTGCTGGTTGTTTCGGATGGTATCCACTGAAATGCTCACCGTTAACGTCCTGCCCAGGAGTCTCGAGGCGGTCAGAGAGAGCTCTTCCCTTTCCCCTGAAATAAAAGTTGAAATGATGTTTATATGTTATCCATTGCAACGGTGGTCACGCAGCACGGAAGGCGTACCGTCACAAACGCTCCTCATTTCCTGACTGTTTCGTATGGACTGGATCATCTCGATCAAGCACTCTCTCTCCTGCTCCATCGCAGTGGCTTCCTCGCGAAGAGCCTCCACCCTGAGAGAGATTTACTGAGATCATTTCACTCCAGATACAGCCCTGAAAACTCAATTATGAAACTCAAGGCAATGAAAAACACCCAGCAACAAAAATGTACAAGCTAACATGCAAATAAACAACTGTTTTGGCTGTAATTTGCAATTACAGCTGTCCTAAAAAACAAGTCAATGTAATCGTATGTATGCTAGCGTGGTTTTGTTGTGTATTGTTAACCATGACTCTTACATTTTAGTTTAGAGGACATAATCCATTAAAATTCTTAATTTAAGAAGTGTTTGAACTCCACAATAAACAAAATCATTGCTTAAACTATATATATATAGTTCTTATAGACGTGCATGTGAGAACAATCCTATTTGAAAATGTTATATTCATGTCATGTTTTGCATTTATTAAAAATTCATTACAAGAAATTTGAGATAATCACAAAACCTATTTTTTCTTCCACAAATGCACATTTAGACACTATGTACGTTATAAACAGAAATGTTTGTATGTACAATATTCTAAAAACTTCAGATATTAATCCACACTACTCGTATTCAGTTGCGGCGATAAGCAAATGCATTCACTTTGCATGAGGCAAGACTTAATGGATGTTTTAGTCTGTACCGATCAGACAATCAATATCCTAAATTACCTCGTCTCAATCTGATCCAGACTTTCCAGTAACTGTCCGGACCGGTCCGCCATCGAAAGCGTTCGGGTGAATTTGCCTTTAGATGCATCGTTCATTTTAGCGTTAATTTTCGCTTGTGCCATAGCTGCTGCTAGTCGCGTTAATGAATGATTTGACGGGTGCAGTGAACTGTATAGGATATATCGGAGCAGACCACCCGAGCAATGTAGCGATGTCCGGTCCGCCAATGAATCGTTCACTCTTTGAATGATTCGGTCGAATCGATTCGCACAGCGTTTGCAAATCTCCGAACTGTACTGTAAAGTGGGCGACGACACGTTGAGCTATAAACATTCAACACAATCATTTTCAAACTTGAGACATTTATCTGGCACAAAAGATAGCCAGTACTGTAGACAGTGACAGCGTCAAACGGCACACATTTACACATAGTAGCCGAATCCTTAGTTTGTAATTTTAAAGTGATGTGAGATATTTTAAAAGTGATAGTAATATGCAATAGTATATTACTAAATGTAATACTTTATTTAATATCAAACTAAATATTTATGCAGCAACCCAGCATTACCCACGTAGCCAACTTTGTGTGATGACTCAATAAATCACTGAATGGAACCTGTTCGTTTAAATGAATCGTCCAAAAGAACCGATTCGCTGAAATGAATCGGACTTCTCAGCGTTTATATCGACCACGTTCTAGCGGTTTCCAGCGGTCTTGAATAACATCTCCAAACATGGGCTGGAACTTCCCTTGGTAATACACTCCTTCAGACAAGAGTGGAGGAGTTCACCTCGGAGATTTCAAAGGAGGGTGGGATTCATTTCTAGGGTCAAGGGCCAAGACGACATCACAGAGAAGACAATAACCAGAACACAATGAGATTTCTCAGACGGGAACAGGCAAGATATGCTTTAATTGCTTTTCTTTATTTAAACTTAAGAAAAACACAGAACGAAAAGAAACACGTTTAATCACTCCAGTGCATGAACGACATGATAAAAACACTCGAATGGTGTCTTCACTTATCAAAACTCCTGCAAGCTTCTTTTCAAGGCTTCTTCAAACTCTGCAAAATGAGAATGCAAAAAATATTTTTTAAAAAGTAACTTTTTTTTAAACAAACCTCATTTATATAAAAGTAAAGTTCAATATATATATATATAATGTGTGGCATTCAGCCAGTGATTACTCAAAATATTGTGATGCAGTGACAACATTCGACATTTGTGCGGTTACACCCAAAACATAAAAAAGCCAAAACACTGCACCATACACGTGCTCAAGAACCCTGCCTAAAATCCCATCTATTACAATAAATATCACACTGAGCCTAAGCTCCATAAAATGAAACATACCTATAACAATGATAATACTCCATGCATGTAAAGCTGGCAAAATAATCATCGGATTAATGAATGAATAGCATACTCTCAATGAGCTCTGACATACTATAAAAATACAATACAGCCCCTACACTGTTCAGAAATAAGAGAAATATAAGATCTTTGTAGCAATATTACAAAAATATGTCAAGAATTATAAACGTATTACCAATATCCAGCTCTTTTGATTTCCTGGCCTCCTCTGCGCTCAAAGTCAAAGCCAGTTTTATGTCCTGGTCAAATTTATCTAAGGAGAAATATAAACAGGCAGGCACTTCAATATTACATTTCCATGTACTTAGTTGATTTGCTGATATTTATTTGAACCGTCACAATACTAACTTGAAACATAACCTTGCAAATCTAAATTGAAATATTACTGAAATACCACTTCTAGACAAAATAAATAAAAAACAGTGGAAAACCTACCATCACCATCTTGTGAAACGGTCACCTCTTTTTTAACATCAAGAATCCTTGAGGTAATGGCACTCTTTACATCTTGAAACTTCGCCACTGGAAAAAAAAAATTCTCATTAAATTTTTATGTGTGTGTGTATGTATACATAGTTTTATCATTCCCATACTTCCTTCTATGGTATTTCATAGCTTCCATGACTTTCCTTGGTCTATGTGTCATAAATATCATAAACACACATGTATGTATATATATATGATATTTATGACACATAGGCCAAGGAAAGTCATGGAAGCTATGAAATACCATAGAAGGAAGTATGGGAATGATAAAACTCATTAAAATCATGAGACACATGATTATGTCCAGACTGGTAGTGTACATGTTAGTTTATTGCTGGAACTTGAAGGGATAATTGATCTATAATTCAGCTGGAGCCAGCATTAAGGAGGAAAACAAGTCAATAACTTTATATCCACCCAGATACTAAATGCAAACCTCACCATTACTCTGAGGGAAGATCTCCTCTGCATTTATTATGCTGGCGGAGGCGGCCGGCTTCTCGTCTGCGCCGCTGGGTCGGGAAGAAGCGCAAGGTTTTGACTGGCAGTGATGCTTGTGGTAGTGTGAATGGAAACTGGGTATATCTTTGTGGCTCTGTGAGCAAACAGTGCACAGAACATCGAAACTCTTCTCATTGCCCTGGGTCTTGTGTGTAAGTAGGATGTGCGTCTTTATCTCGGCGTAGGTGGCCGTGTTTTTGTCGCACTGGCAACAGCAGTAACTGCATTTATTTTCGGTGGCCAACTGTTTCATGCACTTTGTGAACACAGTTTTCCTTTCCTCCCTGGATTTCTCAGAGCCCATGCAAGGACAAAGTTGCCCAGCGCTTGTACTCGCTATCGGACTCTCAACGGTGTTTTCCGTGGATGCTTGGGAATTATTCGGAGCCGCTTCTAAGCAGTAGTAATCTTGGCTGTGCAGACTGTTGTAGTGCTCCAGAAACTCTGCCTCGGTGTCGTACAGCATGCTATCGCACAGCCCGCAGAAGTAGCGCAGGACTATGTCGCCGGCGTGCTCATTGGCGCAATGGCGCCGCAGGGTGGAGTCCTTGAAAAACTTCTGCGGACAGTGGCCACAGGCGAACCTCTGGAAACTGTGGCTGCTCAAATCGCCGCAGTGTTTCCGCACCGCCGCCTCCGAGTCGAAGAGGTCTTCACACATCCGACAAAGCCAAGACTCTGCTTTGGGAAGCGGGATGCAAGAGGAAACCGTTTCGGTTTCCGCACTGGTGGACGGTTTGGGGGACATACTGGACAAGATGCAGTCGTCTGCCATGTCTTCTCTTTCCTGGTAGTAGCTGTGCCCTCTGTGGCTTACGCCAACATGGGCCATGATGTCTTCCATCCTCGGCATTTCCACCTTGCACTGTCTGCAGTGGAAGAGGAAGTTGGTCAAATGAGCACCACCGTGGAAGCGGCTCATGTGCAAGCGCGCTATAGACGACTCGCCCATTATCTTGCCACAGACTGCACATTTGTGAAAGATCTGATTGGCGGCTTGGAGGTGTTTTCTTGCTTGATCCTCCTCTGTGAAGCGTAGACCGCACTCACAGAACCAGGCGAGCTGTGACCATTTCCTTGGTTCAGCTTGGGAATCTATGCTGGCCAGTCTTTTTCGTTTAGCTGAAGGCCCGTCTGAATCGCTCCCACATGCCGTGGCGTTCTGAGCGAGTTGGATTTCACAGTAGTTGCTGTAGTACAGAAGGGCCCTGTCCATGCTGCGCACACTCTTCACCTCATGTTTCAGGAGCTCTTTGTGCTCCTCCATCTGACTCAAGCTAAAAAAAGGTTTGGGGCATGAGGAGCAATGACCCATGACCGCCATCGTCCTCATGATGTCAGCCACGCTTTGATCGGCACTGACAATAGCGCAGCCATAATTGCAGTGCACACTGGGAAACAGAAAAAAAAGAACAAAATAGTTAGTGCACGATAAAAAAAAACGGACCCCATGTATCCAACCACGTGATGAGAAAACGTGTATAAATCACGACAGAAATACATTTACCGAAAATGTTCTTCGATGCAAACAAACAAAAACGTGATTGGATATCTGGACGAACCAGTGAAATGATCTCATTGCACACCATCTCAAACATTGTTTTAATAATTCTGAGTTACCTTAGTGAAAGTATGTCATTAAAAAAATTGGTATAATTTGCATATTAAGATGGCGTTCCCAAACATCATCCGCCTCCAAATGCAAGATGACATGACAGTTTACTCGGTTTCTTCTGCATGCTCCGAGGCGCAAATAATTTATTATGTATGAAAAAAGGACACACGTTTCACCAGTTTTAAAATCTTTCATTTTTATTGTTACTTTGTGCCAGTTTGTGCATAGTATGCATGCGTGACCTACACGTACAAAATATGCAGGTTACAAAAACGGCCCGTGCACGTACCATTATGACGATGGATTTTGTGTCACTTGCACTGTATGCAGACCCTCGTGTAAAAATCAAAGTATATTTTAGGCTTTAAAGAAAGTGGGTCACCCCCACATGGTGGCTGCCATGTTGACATCACATGACCTCAAATATACTACACAGCAGTCGTCAATGATTCTCACTTACAATATAGGGCTATTCCCACTTCTAATCTGTTAAGCCAGGGTTGTTCTTTATTTGTTATACAAGAAAAACTCATGCAATGACCAAGGCAGGCATTGTTTCTTCAATAAAACAAGAGCATTAATGTTAATATGGTTACAAATCGGTATATGTTTCATTAATCCTGGAAACAAACCCCTTAATTTTCCAAATATTTTGTCTTTGCTTCTTTTTTTTAACAGCAACTACATACAATATAACATAGGGAACTACATTGCTGACTAAGTTGTAAACATTGTTAACCCTAAGTTAACAGTCTCCTGGGTTATCCATTTGCTTAATACTTTTCGGATCTTAAAATAAACAAGGCAGTTCCAAAAGGGTCCTCGCACCATTGGTGCTTGAGTCATAAAAATGAGTGCACCTTTAACACGCATACACATGCATCATGTCAGACGGACTGAGAAAAGTAAAACTTAAATCTGAGAAACACCAATATAGACTTACTTGAAGTGTGCTCTTGCCTCCATATGCGAGGTGAGCACCTTAGCGCAGGCTGTGCATTTGACAGTGAAGGTAACGTCTTTACAGAGAGCGATTAACCGGTTCTTTGTGTAAGGAGGGACTGGTATGGGTGTGCTTGGTTTTTTCTCTGAAAGTCAAGACATGACATTAAATGTTAAAGAGTAGGAAACAAACAGGAATTGTTCACACAGGATGAACATTTTTTAATATGTATCAGCCAGTCCTAACAATACCACAAAACAGCTGGAAACAGTCTGATGAATGTGCAATTTGGATTTGATTGTTGAAGACCACACACCCCAGAGAGTGATGGACTGAGTGAAGTGTTTTTTTGCAGACATGTGCTCAAGGCATTCGTCCTTGATGTTGAAGAGGAGGTAACAGGCAGGACATGCAAAGCATACAATCAGCTGATAGCTCTGGGAACGGCTGTGACCATCAGTTTCAGGGAAAGACACCTACAGATGACATCAA